CTCAAGTTCTGAAAACAATATTTAAAAAAAGAATTTTTTATTTTTCCATTTATTTTGCATTTTAAAATTATTTTTAGAATATGTACAGTGTAATATTCTGTTTAGAATATTTCACGTATTTTTCAAAAAAAATATGACTTTTTTTTTTTTTTAGTTAATTCAATTTCCGAAAATAATATTTAAAAAAAGAATTTTTAGATTTTTCCATTTATTTTTCATTTTAAAATTATTTTTTAGAATATGTCATTGTAGTATTCTATTTAGAATATTTCACGTCTTTTTCAAGAAAAAAAAAACTAGATTTTTTTTACTTTTTATTTATTTTTTTTTTATTTTTTATAGTTAATTCAAGTTCCGAAAATAATATTTAAAAAAAGAATTTTTGGATTTTTTCATTTATTTTGCATTTTAAAATTATTTTTAGATTTGGTCTCACAGTCTCACAAAATTAGAATGGTCTCAAATGAACCTGAACTTATATATATATATATATATATATATATATATATATATATATATATATATATATATATATATATATATATATATATATAGAGAGAGAGAGAGAGGGGGGGGGGGGGGGGGGGGGGAACGGTTCAATTAAGAAAAAGAAAATGTTGAGAATAAGAGAATCATTTTCACATATTTGTTTTACCGTAAAACACTTATGCGTACCGACGAAAATGGATAACGGATACACTTGTGTTTTCCAACCAAACATATTTATTTAAACTATATTAGTCATTACCTTAAAATATATATAAAAAAACCTTTTTTTTGTTTTTTTTATTATTTTTAAGAAGCTATTTTTATTGAAAAATGATTTTACATATATCAAAATTCATAATTTTTTAATATATAGAAATAGACATCTATATTGATATAGTTTTAACATAAAATTATTATTTTTTTGAGTTGCAGCTCTCATTATTCATAAGTGAATAAAAATGCATGAGATTTTTATTACATTACATTCGTTTTTCATAAATGTATGTTTAACTTTTTTACAGTTTAAGTATCATTCATATATGAATATAACACGTAATAAAGTTTTCTTATCTAAAGTATATTTCTTTACATCATCTTTCATCACATGTTATATTTATATATGAATAAAATATGTATTAATTGTTGTCATATGTTATATTTATATATGAATAAAACATTTATCAGACTTTTGTTACAGTTTATTTGTTATTCATATATGAATAGGTGCTACATTAATAAATGACGAAGTATTTTGGAAATTCAAACTACATATTCATATATGAATTACAAATGAATTATAACAAATTTATTGTGAGGAAAAACTAATACATGTTTGATTCATATGTAAATATAACATGTGACGATAGTTGCTGTAAACCATAAATAGTTTATTATATTTATATTCATATATGAATGATACTTAAACTATAAAAGAAAGTAATCATACTTTTTATTCATAAGTGAATAACGAATATGTTATAATATATATATATATATATATATATATATATATATATATATATATATATATATATATATAATCTTAAAACTATATTAATATGGATGTTTATTAAAAATTATGAATTTTGACCAATTCCAAGGAGCGAGCTACTTTTCGAAGATTGACCTGAGATCAGGGTACCACCAATTATGAGTCCAGGAGAGTGATGTTCCCAAGACAATATTCCGACCTCATTATGGTCACTACGAGTTTGTAGTGATGCCCTTTGGTCTGACAAATGCACCCGCCGTGTTCATGGACTTAATGAATCGAGTGTGTCGTCCTTTCCTAGGCAAATTCGTGATAATATTAATAGATGATATACTTATCTATTCACGAAGCAATATGGAACATAGTCAACAGTTGATACAAATTCTAGAAACATTAAGGGCAGAGAAGCTATACGTAAAATTCTCAAAGTGTGAGTTTTGGATTAGGAAGGTAACTTTCCTTAGTCATGTGGTTAGCAAGGAAGGCATACACATGGACCCTTCTAAAATAAAGGCAATCGATAATTGGTCACCACCAACAACGCCCACATAAATCAGTCAATTCTTGGGTCTTGTTGGCTACTATCGCAGATTCATACAAAACTTCTCCAGAATTGCTAAACCGCTTACTACCTTAACTCAAAGGGTGCAACTTTTAGTTGGGGAGAACAACAAGACAATGCATTCTGAACACGTAAGAGAGCCCCGTGCAGTGCACCTATCTTGTCTCTTCCATAAGGGATGGAAGATTTCGTTGTATACTACGATGCATCCAATCAAGGGCTAGGTTATGTGCTTATGCAGTGAGGAAAGGTTATTACCTATGCCTCGAGACAGTTAAAGGCACACGAGGTCAACTAGACCACTCATGATCTCGAGTTGGGAGTAGTAGTATTTTTTCTAAAGATCTGGAGACATTACCTTTACGGTACCAAGTGCACTATCTTCACCAACCACAAAAGTCGTGTTCATGGATCTCATGAACCACGTATGTAGGCCGATGTTGGATGGGTCTATAATTGTATTCATTAATGATATCTTAGTCTATTCTAAGACCTAGGAGCAGCACGAGGAGCACTTGAGGAAGGTGTTGGAGACTTTAAGGAGGGAGAGACTTTTCGCAAAGTTCTCTAAGTGTGATTTCTATTTGCACGAGGTGCAGCTTTTAGGGCACCTTGTTAACCAGAATGGTATTCTGGTCGATCCAGCCATGGTCGAGGGCATGATGCGGTGGGAGGTTCCGAGGTCTCCATTTGAAACTGAGTGTTTCCTTTGTTTAGCAGATTATTATCAAAGATTCATCTAGGATTTCTCGAATATAGTTGTTCCTTTGACTCGGTTGACGAAGAAGACGATCACATTTCGCTAGGAGCCTGAGCAGTAGGTAGCTTTTAAGACCTTGAGACAGCTGTTTTGTGAGGCACCGATTTTTACTATCCCTGAGGGTATCAAGGAATTCATGGTTTATTGTGATGCATCAATCACAGGGTTGGGTGCAGTACTGATGCAGAGGGGTCGCATGATCGCTTACACTTCGAGGCAACTAAAGCCTCATGAGGTGAACTATCTGACACATGATTTGGAGCTAGGGGTTGTGGTTTTCTCCCTCAAGATTTGGAAACATTACCTCTATGGGTTCCGTTGTAATCTTTACACGAATCACAAGAGCCTAAGGTATCTGATGGATCAACCATATATGAATATGAGGCAGCTCTGGTGGTTGGATGTGGTGAAGGATTATGGTTGTGAGATCCTTTACCACCCAGTAAAGGCCAATATGGTTGTCGATGCTCTCAACCGTAAGGCGGTCACAACTCCGATCAGGGATATATGTTTGAGGATGATCGTGATTACTCTGCTTTTGGAGTGGATTCGGGAGGCTTAGATTAAGGCTATAAAGGAAGAGCACTGGAAGAGTGAGATTACCATAGGTCAGGTGGCTTCCTTTGATTATGATAGCTAGAGGTTGATAACTCTTCATCAAAGGGTATAGGTTCCGTATTAGGGAGGTGTACGTCAGGTTCTAATGGAGGAGATGCACAATTCTAGGTTCTCCATTCATCCCTGGGCGATGAAGATGTATAGAAATCTTCATCCTAATTATTGGTGGCCTTGCATGAAGTCAGATGTGGCTTAGTATGTGGAGTGGTGCTTGACTTGTAGGAAAGTCAAGGCCGAGCATCAGTAACGTCACGTTAAGATGCAACCGATGGAGATTTTCGTGTGGAAATGGGAGAAGATCGTTGGATTAGGTGTCTAAGCCCGTAACTATATTTGGTGTGTACTTGATTTGATTATGATCATGGTCCTTTTGAGTTGCCTTCACTCATGCAACTTAATAGGATGACTAGTGGAAAGAGAGAGTATGATTTATTATATTTATAATAAATTGATACTCAGAGTGATTTTATTAATACAATATTTGGAAATCATATTATTAATTAGAAATTAATTTGATATTAATTTTAGGATTAAAGGAACTGATTAATAATGTAGGGGCTAGTTTTGCAAATCATCGATAGTTGAAAAGTTAGGCTGATGGACTCCTATGGGAGAACTGGACGAAATCTATAGGAGGCCAAATAGAATTCGTCCAAGGCTTCTATATGGAGGCACATGGACCGCTTAAAGCCTAAGCAAGGAAACTAGGGTTTCCACCTGAAAACCCTAATAGCCCCAACTATATAAACCTCTAAGTTTAAGGATTTAGGCCTGGTATGATTTTCTAAGAGAACCCTGGCCAATTTCCTCATCTCTCCTACTCATCCTTGTTGTATTGGGTGTTTGTGACTCCATTAGAGGTACAACACTTGGGACACTATGCTTTCAAGAGTCAAGGTGGTTCTTGTTATTGCTATATAACAAGTAAGGTAATCATCAAACCCTAATATATATATATATATATATATATATATATATATATGAATTTCGTAATTGTATATACTAGATCTAGGGTTCATTGCTTTGGTGTTCAATTTTCATGTTCAATAGTGAAAAACTTATATACAAAGCAATTAGGGTTGCATGATCACATAGGAATGTAGATATGTTCAAATCCGATCAGTGGTATCAAAGACTAGGGGGTGTTTGTTTTATCTTTTTGCCATCAAAAGTCCTTTTTGCGAAAGGACTTTTTGTAAAAGAACTTTTCACAAAAGATGGTTTTAAAAATGTGTTTGGATTAGCTTTTGAGAAACAAAAGTCAAAAGTTGTTTTTAAAAGGTGATTGGTTTAACTTTTACATGTAAAATGACTAAAAAGGACATGCTTATATATTTACAATTATTTAGTAATTTACATATACTATTTTCATTTTAACAATTTTTTTAAATACATATTATAATTTTGTAAACATTTTATTAGAAAATATAAAATATAGATTTCTTTTAAATATTCCTAAATTTTTTATTATAACATTAAAAAATGTTCATACAAATTATAAATAATTCATAAAAAATATCATAAATAATATTACATTCGTCTTCGCAATGTGTTTATATCTTATGCAATAATATCTCGTATCACTGCCATATATATAAATCATCACCACGCGTGTGACGTGTACTTGGACCTTCTTCGTAAACTTCACTACTAGTATCACTTCGTATGAGATTGTAGGATTCTTGTTGTGCCCTATTAAACGCTTCATCAAACCTACCAAACTTTCTAATATAGTTATGGATCGCCATCGGTGCTATCACAATTTTAAATTTGTTCTTATATTTGTAATTAACATGCATGTCTCTTAATAACGCCCACCTAGCTTTCCACACTCCAAAAGTTCGTTCAATGATATTCTGCAATGATGAGTGGAGATAGTTAAATTTCTCTTTCGGTCCACGAGGTTCACGAACAGCAGCCGAGTGTCCACGTCGAAAATCCGGTAAATGATAACGAATATTTGTGCCTTTGTATGGAGCAAGATACCCTCTAGTATTTGGATATCCGGCATCAACAATGTAATATTTATCTGTAATTAAAACAAACAAATTATTTTTTCCTTTAAAAAAAGTAGTAAAAATATAAAACTTGTGTTCCAAAAAAATTATACTAACCACCAGTTGGATATGGAAAATTAAGATCTGGTCTCTGTAGGGCTTCATTAAAAATTCTTGTGTCATGTGCAGTCCCCTCCCAACCGGCCCATACAAATGTAAAACACATGTTAAAATCACAAACAACCATTATATTTTGTGTTGCATATCCCTTTCGACCAATGTACTTCGCTTCCTCGTTTTGTGGAACTGATGCCCTAACGTGTGTCCCACCTATAGCACCAATGCAATCCATCAAATACAAAAATGTATCATAAATAAACGATTTGTTAAAGTCTGACTACTAAGAAAATGAACATTAGATAATACCTTGAACATTGGGTAATACCGAGGGCTATTTAATATATATTCAGGAACATCATCATTATAGTTTGCGTCTGGCTTGATGATGTCGGCACTCAGTTTTAGCACGGCTTTCAAAACTGTATGGAAATGCCTATGAATTGTTTCCCCTGAATGGTTAAAAAACTCTTGCACAAATCTATTGCTACACCCATGAGCCAACGTCATCAAGAATATTCCTACAGATTCCTCAATAGATATATTTCGTGTTTGTTGTAGCCCGTAATTTGTAGCAAGATCTGCGCATAACTGTCTAAAAACCGGTACGTGCAATCTAAACATCTCATAACACCGTCTAGGATGTCCATTTAGTACTTCATTAATAAACATGTGCCATGTGCGGTCTGAAGTGTGACATGGCATATGTACGTTACGAAACTAGTATTATCCTTTTTAAAGCTAATCCACATAACATTTTAAATTGTCTATCCTCTTCCACCCACCATTCTTCATTATCATTAGAAGAATTAGAGTCATCACTATCCATCCTACATAATACAAATAAAAATATGTCAAAAAAATAACACATAACATAAAGACAAACAATAACACATAATATAAAATGTCAAATACATAATGTCAAAGGACAACACATAGTGTTAAAACATTGTAAACACATAATACATATTGCTAAAACATAATGTCAAAGCATAACACATATTGCTAAATCATTATTTCATAAGTAATTTAAGGAACCCCATCTTGGCTTCGTCAGTCGTTGGAAACATAAAAGCTTCACGGTTTTGCTTTTTGGTGAACACAAACAATGCTTGTGAAAATTCGTTGCAGCCTTCACGAAAATCGGGAAACTTGGTAAGAATGGCCATGCAATCTGCTATTGTTGGGAAGGATTATTTGTGGATAATTTTGTGTGCTTTTTGTTGATATGGCATCCAATAAACCATCTACTTTTTCTTCAAAAACTGAACTTTTACTCTTGGTTGAACGGTTGTTGGAAACAAGCTTAGACCTTTTCTTCTTACTTGAACTACTTTCATGGAAACTAGGAAAAAGCGACTCAACATCATCATCTAAATTGATATCATCACTATCTCCTTTGCCTTCCACATTTTCTCCGTTTGGATTGCTATTGTTTTGAAACTGTAATGGAGTCATAGTCTGATCTCCAACGGCAACGGAATCCCGAAACAAAAAGGCATATTTCTCATCAAATAGGCTCAAATCTGCGTTCCTAAATTTTGCATAATCTTTATTCTCCTACAAGACAAAAAGATAATGTAAATCAAATATGCTCAATCTATATGCAATATATATGCAATCATAACTTAAAATAATTACAAAGAATAGTAAATCATACCTTTATTTTCTCCTCCCACCACTCGGGCGATGCATCTATCTGGCTTCTCGTCCCACCGAGTCCGGTTTCAAGCCTTGGAGATTGTCGGCGACTTGTTGAAGTTGATGGTGAACGACAGCAAGAGAGGGATGAACGACAGCGAGAGAGGAATGGTGGGCGGACAGAACGAGAAGAAAAAGAAAAGAACGAGAAGAGTATTTTAGGGTAGTGGGGGTATATCAGTCATTTAATTGAGAAAGCTTCAGAAGTTTCAAAAAGTCACAAATACGTGACTTTTCCAAATGCCTTAAATCCTTCTTTATGAAAAGTAACTTTTAAAAGATCTTTTACATTTGCCAAACATCTTTTACCCCATTTTAACTTTTTGGAAAAGATAAAGTGTAAAAGTTGGTTCAAAAGATAAAACAAACACCCTCTAGGATGTTTTTTAATTGAATTGGTGCAAGAGTGAACTGCTAAAGGAACAAACAATCAAAAAAAATTGTTGTCCAGAGCTAGAACTCGACGAGTTCTAAATCCAACACGATGAGTTGACTCGTCAGTTTCTTGATTGATTTTTTGGTCAGATTTTGATTTGGATAACTACCATAATTTGTTTTATTGCCTAAAATCGATTTTTCCGATTGATATCATGATATCCTTATCAACGTTAAAGATTTGTTTAAATATGGATAATATAAGATTATTTTGATGCATAGATTTAACCTAATAATTTTAAATAGTTTCAGATTGCCCCTTTTGGTTTTATAGTTTAAATTTGAAACTAAATAGTTTTGATTTTAGAAATTTAAATAGTTAAACCCTCGCATTTTGAATAGTTTAAAACACACCCTCGTGGATTTTATTAATTAATTAATTAAGTGTTTAATTAAAAAAAATATATATTATCCATAAATTTGGTTTAAATTTAATTAAATTAAAAGTTTAATTTATTAAAGGCTTAAACCACTTTGTATTTTAAAAGTTTAAAATACACCCTTATACTATATTAGATTAAAAGTTTAATTATATATATATATATATATATATATATATATATATATATATATAATTATATAGATACTAGAGAGAGAGAGAGCTAGGTTCAAATGTTTTTAGCAACTATTGTGTGCTTAAATGCACCAATAAGAATTCAAGAAATAATAAATAATTAACTAAATCATTAAAGGGTATTTTGGACCTTTTGTATTTTTATTTAAGGAAATTATTTAATTGAAATCATTCAATTAAGGAAATAAACTAATCATTCAATTAAGGAATTAAACTAAATATATTTGACCTAGTTATGTTTGTGGTTGAACACTTCATCATTGGCATCAACACCATCACCATCAACCTAGTTATGTTGCTGCTGCCTTCCGTTCGTTCTTCCCCTGCTTCGATCGAGTTCCTTTCGTCCCCGATCAAATGAAGACGAGAACCAGAGATGCTTTCTATCTCCTTGCAATAGATCGACAAAATATCGCACACCCTTCTCTTCTCTCAGTCGTTCCGAAAGGAGAAAGTGAGAACCCGGAGAAGCTTCAACGATCAACGCACATCAAATCCGCAATCCAATTTATTCCCCGAGTTACCTTCTCCTCGCCTATGGTTGTGTAAGCAACTGTCCCTCTGCTCTCATTACTCCGCCGTTCAAGCCTCCTCCTAAGGTCTGCATTCTCTCCTTGTTTTACATAATTCCTCAGTCCATATTTGAGGTAAGAACGGGTGACTTTTGTTGAAGACGCTACCTTAACGCTGTCAAAAGAAAAAGTGAATTTTTTATATATAATTTTTTATTAGATTTGGAAGGTTACATGTCCTTCATATTCCACATACAGAGATACATATACATGCTTCAGTCTCTTGATTCTTATTGATTTTATTTCTTTTTTTACCCTCTTATCAGTTGCTTCAGTCTCTTGATTCTCCATGGTGGGGCTGATTGTTTTTTATTCAATGGTGATGGTGTATGATCTTGGGTTTACTAAGTGTTTACGGGTGGTTGTCTTACACGGTGAACGCAAGCCTTCTTGTAGCCATGTATTCCAAATTCGTTTCTTTTCTGTTCATTTTCATCTTCTTGTTTATCTTGCTGTGAATTATGAATATACACTCTAGTGTTTACTAGGAATGAATGCATATGTGTGTTGATGATTCAATCACAGCTATTGAATTCTGTATTCAATCACAGCTGTTAAATTATGTAATGTATTCTATTAGAATTTATTTTATATAGATGTATTCTGTTAGAATGTTTGAGAATAATTTTCAACAAGTACATTATGTCAGAATTTATAGTTTTTATTCTCATAGAATGCATTGAATTTTTTAATTTTTGAAACTTGATTATGTTTTCTTTGTGGATTTAGGTTTTGAAGAGGCTAACATTGATGTGGAGAAGGAAGAAAACATAGAGAACGAGAGTGTATTATACCAGAATGTGTTATGCTACAATGTATAAAGTGTTGCTAAAAAATAATATTCTATTAGAATAGGTTAGTGTTTTTGTTAGATTGTGATGTTTTTTTTTCTTTCAGAATGTTGTTATTATTCAATGAATCATAATCATACAATGTAATTATTTGGATATTATTAGTTCAATGTATTCTTTTTAGAATGTATTTACTAGTTTATGGTTGACATTCTGTCATTCTGACAAAATATAATCGACGAATATATTTACTAGTTTATGGTTAACATTCTACCATTCTGATAGAATAAAATCGAATTTCTAATTTTGAATTAATTTAAAATATTCAGATTTTTAAAAATAAAGGAATTAATTATCCCTAAAAATCCGAAAATTTCCTTTTTTAATATAGGTTTATTGACTAAAATGCCCTTATACTGAAATTTGTGTGATTATATGGTATATGTTATCCTATTTTACTATCATAGACCCTCAGATCATTACCTTTGATTATATTCAATCCGATGGTCCAGATCTGTGCATTCTGGCACACAATAGTTACTAGAAACAAAATAACCTAACCATATATATATATATATATATATATATATATATATATATATGTGCGTGTGTGTGTATGTATGTATGTATTTATGTATGTATATGTAAAAGTTAGTCTTACTGGTAGTAGGTCTCATTCACGAAGTTGGTCTATAAGCGACTAGTAAAATGACCGCCATGGGGTATCCACTCTTACCCACCGCACTCTTGACCGGTGGAGGGTCGTTAGCTGAACGGGTAGGATAGGACACTAAACTCTCATTAAAAGTATAATGAATTATAAAGTAACTAAACGCTTTTATAAATTCCTAATCTTAGTTACTTTAGGGTGGCAATGGGTAGCTCATAAATTATCGTTGATCGATGGACCGTGTGTGGTTAATCGGTACATTGATTAGATGATAAATAACATCGAGAGTACCAAGCTAATTTGCATGGTTATTCACACCTTGTTTGTGATCTTCGGTATCCCGGTCACAAACTTGAAGGGCATAATCGAGATTAAACATGTCATTGAAAAGTTCAATGAATCTCAAAAGATCTTGGAATTTCATTTAAAATCTAATTCGTTTAAAATTTCATTTTCGTGGTGGAATTGGTAAATTGTCATTTCCCTACCTTTAAATAATTTACAATTGGATTACGGCATCCCTCTTCCGAATTGTGAATTCTTGTGTTCGGTCCTAGCCTTAATATATCATTTGGGTATTATATTAAGGATTGTATAAACTAACTTGAATTTCTCCCTCTTGTAGATGTATAGTTTTGACAACTATGGTCTTCCTCAATCCTTTGGAAGATGATCTTCCACTTGTCAATCACGGTGAAAGATCACGGTGAAAGATCAATCCATTGTTCGTGCATTGGTTGAATTGAAAATCATTCTTCACTTCCTCCACCTCCTCATGTGATTCTCCATTACCCATGTTTTCTTCGACTTGAAAAGTTCAATGTCACTCAAGCCCTATTGACATGCAGCATCGAGATGGAAGTCTTGTGTGTACACACGTTCTAAAGATGAAGGTTGTACATTGACAAAATGGGAATGTTGGGTGTCGTATTCCGAGGAAGTTGGTTGTTGACTTGGTTCTTCAATCACTTCCTGAGTCATATAGTCAGTTCGTCAAGGACTACTATATGACATACCACGACGTGACCCTTATTGATCTGATATATTTGCTAATTGTTGTTGAATTAATAATGATTTGGCGCACTGGTAAAGCAAAATTGATTGGAAGATCCACTTCCCAAATTTCCATGGGCACAGGCAATGACAATGGTGATAGTCCAGAAATGACTTCTTCTCCTAAAGAAAAGGATTTGGCCAAAGTCAAAAAGTTTGACCGTAAGAGAAATCCTGACTCTAAGTAGTTCCATGTGTCACTCCTAAAGAGTCCATTTGTTTCTACTGCTACTTGAAGGGGCATTGGAAAAGAAAACTAACCTGACTACCTGAGAGATCTAAGAGATGGTAAAACAAATTATATGGCTCTACTTCAGAATCTAAATAGAAAGAAGGAAGCTTAAAAGAACAGTAAGTTGAATCTGATCATGAAGAAGTGGATTTCGGTCACATGGTTTGATGGTCATATTTTTTAGTTGTTGCTTAGAAGTTATGTAAGATTACTTAGGAATATTTAGTAACATAGTTTTCAATTGTATTTGCATTGTATGGACAAGTTTTTCCGCATTTTTATAAATAAAGTAAATTTTGTTCTTATCTTATTTTACGTATCCTTGCAATCGCATTTGTGAAAATTGGTGTTTATATTTCTATTGTTAGCAATGTTAAAAAAAAGGATTTGATTCATGGCTATATCGTTTGTAGTAGTGTCATAATTTACCAAGTGAGGAAGGATTCTCATCACCCAAGTTTCAAATCGGACAAAAACTTGGAATCATATGATTTGAATTGTGTGATGTATGTGAATCTTGATCATTGGGAAATTAGGACTGATTCCTTATCCACATATGTATGTGAGTTAAGTGAAAGACTAAAGGATCTAGTACACGTTGATGTGGGCTGGTCAGATCCACCACAAAGTACGATAAAGTATATTCATCATGATTTACTGATGGTTCAATAAATATGGTTATGCTTACAAGTTTAAGTGTAATTCTAATACATTGGGTAGAAAGATAAAATTTTCTCCAATCTGACAGGAAAGGAGATTTAGTATCATATTTTATGATCATCCTAATGACTATGGAGCCATGTCACAATTGATCCTTTAAGGACACCTTAGTGCATTTACATGACTAAGAACAGGTAACGGGAATGGTTGAAATGGTTAAATCAAAAGGATAAATTGTATTTCGTTCCAAAAATCAAGTGTTAGAGTTATACTCTAGTTACTCCATGTTGTACCTTGGCGTGACCGATGTATAACTAAGTAGGTTTATAATGCCTCATGAAATGTGGAGTAGAAATTTTTCTTACTCTTGCACATTTAAAATTGGTAGTTGTGATGTTTTTGCTAAAACAAAGACCAACTAAGACTAACTACATGAAGTGTTATCTTGATAAGTGATGGGTTTTGAGCATTCTAACACTTCCTAAGTGTACATCCAACCCTAATAAACCTTGGATCTATGTTTGTCTAAGATACATGCAAATAATTATTTTTCCAAGGTTCATATCCTAACTAGCATGGCATGGGGAACATGAATCAAATAAAGCTAGTAGAAATACTTACCTTGTAGTAGTAGTTGATTGCTTGGAGTGTTAGAGCCTAGAACCAATAGTGTGAATGCCTCAAATGGAAATCACAAATCACCACAAACTTGGAACTTTGAGAGAATAGTCACTACTATCTTGAAATCGGCCCTCTTGCTTTACTCACCTCAACAAGTGTCAACTAGTGTGATTTCAAGAACCAAAGCCTCCTTTATATAGTGTCGTGGATTAGGTTTACATCCATGTAAACCCTAATACCCATGTCTCTTCATTTCCATGAGATCCATGGGTTAAAGCTCCATGGAGTATCCATGGACTTTTCCATGCAAGCCTAGCCCATTTCAAATAAGCATTAGCCCACACTATATAAATATAGAAGCCCATATTTAATTAGTAATATCTTTGATCCCTAAATTAATCCTAGATTAATTATAGATCAATACTAATTAAATAATGTGATCTTATATTAATATATTAGAACTTATAATATATTAATAAATCATAACTTGTACTTTTCTCAAAATATTATCCATAAATTGTTCGGGTGAAGTGCAACCCAAATGGACCATGCCGGGTCGGGTCAAGTACATATCACTTATAGTTATGGACTTAGACACTATATCCAACAATAAGAACATGCACTAACTCTTGAATATTTTTTTGTCAAGGAATGTTCCTTAACAGAGAATCTTATATGTCAAGAGGTCAGTAGGGTCTTCTTGATCTTCAAATAGTTTCAAGAACTAATCAAGAATAAACCTTTTAGTAATCACTAGCACACGACTTGAGGTTGATAACCTATTGTGTTGACATATTCTTGTTTTATATGCCTATTCTAGTTATGTTGACTATGCATGTGAGTTCTATGAGTTCTCATTTGATTGTATAAGGCAAAACATCTTGATCGGTGAAAGTACATTGATCAGTGTAAGTGAGTTGATCGATAACTTAGAAGCAATGGTAGGCCCTTGTGCTGCAAGATGGCAAGAAATTAAGAATAGGTGGGTTTAGTTCATATGAGTTTGATTTTTTCGTAAACCTTGTCTTATGATAGTGGTTAGAAATGACAAATTCACATGGATAGGAAGACATGCACCTTAAAATCTAGTTGGCAATAGGTTTCTCTCTACTTTAGGAAAATGATTGTGAGGAAATGCTTTCACTAGTAGATTCTGAAGGATTAGAGTTAGCAGCTCTGTGTTCTCAAATTCGAGTATGATTAAGGCATCACTTTCACTAGTAGATTTTGAAGGATTAGAGTTAGCAGCTCTGTGTTCTCAAAT